GACTTTTAAATTAAATGTTCCCTCCTGGTGGAATGACCTGCCCAACTTAATCCAAGCAGCTGAGTCCTACATCTTCAAGAATTGGCTAAAAACCACATCTCTTCCATCTTTATTTGACCCTCTAACTCTGGCACTCTCTATTCTAATTCTATTCTTTATAAAAAAAAAATTTAAACAAATTGTATGTAAATAGTATAACCTTTTAAAATTAGTCTCTAATCTTTTTGTATTCTATCTATTTGTTTTCTTTTTATTTATTATACAATTAACAAAAGCAAAAAAGGCCTCTAACACTAGCTTGCTCTATTCTTTTTCTATTCTATCTGTTTTCTTTTTATTTATTATATGCTTTTTTTAAATCCTGCTACGTGTACTGCATTAAGCTAACTGAGACTTGTTATAGCACTTGCTTATCATTGCTCTTTTATTGTTTCTGACTGTTTCTATTGTCCTCATTTGTAAGTCGCTTTGGAAAAAAGCATCTGCTAAATGTTTAAATGTAAATGTAAATAAATAAATATATATATATTAGTTTATTCTTTATATTTCTATATTTTCTACATAAGGAATGATCAGTTGGAAGTTAGAATGGGTTGAAAATCATAAATAAATCAATAATGTTTCAAACCGAATGCTATATTATTTTCTAGAAAAAAAGTGCATTTATGAATCATGGAGTTACAAAAACAGATTAAATTTTTTTTTCTAAACACACAAAAATATGTGGCAAAAATACTATTTATTACACGTGTGACAATTAATCTAAACTAAAAAGAACATTTTTTTAACGGCTTAAAAAAGTAAAGTATATAGAAAACGTATCGATATACAGTACTTTAATGGTTTGTTTGATGCCACCTTTTATGTAAAATATACGTACATAAAATACAGATTACATAGAAATAATCTTTAATATGTAATGTTAATATGTGTGTGTGTGTATATATATATATATATATATATATATATATATATATGTGTGTGTGTGAGTGTGTGTGTGTGTGTGTTTATTTATTTAAAGGCCTTATTTAACACGCCTCCACGTTTTCAATGGTCATGGTCAGGATAACGCCTGGAAAAACACTGTTCAACACCACACCATGTTCTTAAAAACATCTCCTGAAAATGTCCCTGCAAGGGAAACAAACACACACCGACTCATCTTTCATCATTTTGGACAGCCCTGATTCAGTCTGTATGGAATCCTCCTATTAAAATAAATGAAGTCTGTTTGAGAGACCTAGGAAATAAAACCCCACTATGAGGGATGGGATGGTGTCTCATCAGTAAAAAAAACAATTGGTAGGTCTGGCCAAGGAGCTCCCAGATACCCCTAATCTCATAACGAGAAGGTAAAAAAGCTGAAACATGCGCACATGACTCACCCAACCCATCGTCTGCGAGGTACCGATCCCTAGCGTACAGCACAGAATCCAGCATCGACTCAAACAACAGGAAGTAGCCCTAGAAAATGACAAAATAGGGGGAAAACTGTTTAATGTGTAAAGATACACATACAGAATGCCAGAGATCGCATTCAGGTACATGTAATATTGCGGCATTGAAACACGTTCTAGAGCATTTTAAAACTTAATGCTACAGATTGAATCATACCTAAAGTCATCAAATCATGCAGTTTGTTGAGATTTGGATGGATAATCAAATTAGCAAAGAAATTTTAAAAATGTGTGCGTGCGTGTATGTATATATATATATATATATATATATATAAT